AAACGTCCATTTAGCAATCAAGAAAAGTTTCTAAGTAACACCTCAATCCATGACGAATAGGAACGAGAAGCCGATGTATTGGTATATCGCTCATTCATCGGCTAAAATTTGTATATAGGTCAATCTCTAGATGATTGATGCTTTATTCGGGAAAAAAGTATAATATTCGAAATAATAAGCGAAGCAGTAAGAAACTTGACAAAAAGAAAAAAACCCTATAGGCATATCGGCCATGAAATATCGGTATCGGCTGATTATATGCACCGATCAAAATTTCTATATCTTTCGACCCCTAATTTCCATATTATATTACCATTTTATCACTGGCCAATATTCTGTTTGATTTATTCACACGCGCTAATTAGTTGACATAATTGTGTGTGATTGGCAGATTAGAATAGCATCTTAACAGCATGTTTTATTTCTATACTTACAATTTTATTTGATCTTAGCAAAATTTCGATTAGTTATTATCAGTTTCAAGAGGTTTTTTAGTTATCTGCCGATTTGAAGAGAATTATTTTGATAATTGAAACATCGTAAAATCTGAGATTGTTCAGACCGCGTGAGTCGGCTTATGTGGTCGATCACCTGCCTAGAGAGTGATTTGAACTTGGCAGCGTCTCAAGGTGATGTTGGGCGTTATCTTAAGAGTTAACTATGTGTATATGTATTTTTAATTTTTCCTGTTGAACACAAAAAAAACATATTACAGTAAAATATCGCTACTGGGCTGGTTATTAGCTTTTAGATAGGAAAATCCTTGACAAATAAAATTCCTAATGCATATATTCATCAAGATTATCGAATTTGCCTTAAAAGAATCCAATTCGATACTGAAACCATCTAAATACATAATTTCATTGAATTAATTATATACAATGAACCACCTGCAATGAAATGTAAAGTGCCTCAATAATATTGCATTGAACCAGAAGGAATTTAAAATATGTTTACCTAAAAATTTTTAAAATTGAAAACTATTGTTAATTAAATTGTCCGAATTTTACTACGAAACCCCCTGCATAGACTTTATTAACTGTTCGTGATAATTTTTTATTATTACAACACACGTTATGTTATTTCATAATGAATGCTCAATGTTTTCGGAATAAGATAGAAATTATAATAATTAATTTTTTTTTAATTTGTTTTGTAGAAACGTTCATGAGTATCGTTTATATTTTAGTTATTTTCAATAGGCTTAAAAACTATAATTTTAATTCATTGATTGATTCTTAAAATTAAAACTTGAACAATATAATCAACCATTCACTTCGATCAAAATTCGATTCATAAAATTTATTTCATGATTGTAGAGCGACCGTTTGTAGTATGAGATGGAATTGGTAAACAAGTTATTGGAATGAGCATAGGGAAGAGGTATGACTAATATCAGATGGCAGGGAATTTCAGAAGGCAGTGGAGCGGACAAGAAAGAAACTTTTGAAGGTTTTAGTCCTGTTGGAAAGGGTTTAAGGTCAGAAACACGAGATCTTGTTTGAACTGTAGGAGATTGTAGCCGTAGGAAGAGTGCCGATAGATGGTCGTTTGGAATAGATAAGATCCAAGGAAGTATTGAAGACGGATTGTGTGGAAAAGTCTGGACGAAATTGGAGAGGGTCGAGTAGTTTTGGGTCTTTATGGAAATTGGAAATTTGTTATTGAACTATTCTTTCCAGCATTTAGGAAAGGTTAGAGAGAATAACTGAAAATGAGCTTCCTCAATTATAAAAATTATCCGCGGTTCAAGAAATTCATAAATGGGTGGAAGACGGGAATGGGACCAGCTCACTTCCTTACAGGTGCCGACAGAAGAAGATGACAAGTGCCAGGAATACCTACAGACTCTGGGAGCTAGTCCGAAGTCGACAATAACTTATGAAAAATGAGGGAAGGGCATGAAAAGGCGAAATAATAACGCTTGATAGTTATCTGCTTCCAGGCTGCTCCCCCGCAGGTCTTCTTCATCTCCTTGTCCCAATCTGTCGGCGAGCGTCCTCTCTTCCTCACATGTTCTCTTGGATACCAATCTATAAACTGCCTGGTCCATGTTATATCATTCCTCCTGATGACATGTCCAGTCCAGGTCCACTTCCTGATTTGCACTTTTTCCACAATATCTGGAAGGTCAGTCTTAGCTCTGATCCATTTATTAGATTTTCTCTCCCATCTGTTATTCCGAGAAGATATTGCTCCATTCCTTCGACGGTTATCCTCAATTTGTGACAAGTCTTCTGGTCTATTACCCACGTTTCACACCCGTAGGTCATGACAAGAAGTACCGTACTCAACTAAAGTTTTCTCTTGACCTCTGAGCTCACCGAGGATCTTATATATCCTTAAACTTCAAGAGTGCGCGCCATCCTATGATAAATCGCCATACAGGGGCAGCCTGGAAGAGAGTAGCATTGAGGAGAAAAAAGTGGAAACGGATGAGACAGGTTCATTACTTAGTGTGGTTGCAAGAGACCTAGAAAAGAACCGAACTCAAAAACTCAACTAAAATATTGGTTTTGTACATACCAGAATATTATGTATGAATCAAAATGTAAAGTTCTTGTATATATCCATTTTTTATAGGTTTTTACATTGTATGTACTAATAAAAGTTATTATAATTATAGTCATCTGCTAGTCTTGTAAATATGAAGCAGTTAAGGGTTGCCTAACGTCTCTTTTACATATCTCGAATTTCTGGGCATATCGAAGGAGCAAGTTGGTTCTCAGTGACCAAAAAACTAATTATAGTCAAAGTCGTCAGTCCGCCATGTTTAAACGCCATTTTGAGGTAGTACGTTAACTTTTTTTTGTGGGAACATCGGCGTTTTATTAATAAATAGTTGCATGAAACACAAAGATATGCAATTTATAGGGAGTTGGTAGGAGGAGGAGGGTACGGTAGGGGGTCTGGTCCACAGACTATTTCTGCTCTAAATCGTTGACATGCAGTTCTAGCCAGATGTGGAACCAGCAGTTATGATGGGTAGGAGCAAATTTAACTATAAAAAGACTGAGGGTAAAGTAGAGGTTTTCCAAGAAGAGTTTGTTGTTGGATTCAGAAAGGAGTTGGGTATTAAAATATCCGGAAATTATTATATAATTATAGAAAGGAACATAATTTTATCAATTGATTTGTATGGATTGGCATATTGGCTAATATTCCCATGCAAAAGCAAAAAAAAAAAAAAAAAGAAATTGTACAGGTTTGATTCGAAGGATGAGTCGAACGGAACTAAAGGAGGGCGACATACCACCACATAAAGGAGAGGATGTCCTTTGCATTATCTATATTCAATAATGGACCGTGTCGTTCAATTACATATAGCCCGCAAAAATAATTACTTTATATCATGTTTATAGTCCTTTTTAATAGGCAACAAACTCGAACTTAAAGGATTTATCAGATTTTTGATAAATTTATCCTGTTGATAGCTATGAATTTTTAGAATAGTAGGACATCGAATATACGTTGTTTTTTTTTAATTACCCAATTCTAGCTTGCCCTTCATAATGTATGATCCAGATTTCAGATAAGCAATGGTTTGAGTAGCAATAAGCCACGATGAGATAAATCGCGATTTAAGTCGTCCATCAATAATTGTTTAAATCAGCAATTGAAGCCATTACTTACATCCATACATCCATCCTGTCTATTACAGCCAATATAGTTATATAAAACTAAAAGTCTTCATTAACAGTCGCTCAAGGACAATGTCTCTTTGTTCCGGAGGTCAATATACCATCTACCAATATTAAAATGTATCGCGTGATATTCTTTCCAAGTTCAGCTTCGTATTCTTTTTTTATTATTTAAGGAAAAAATAGCAATTTTTGAAAAATAAATATTCCGAAACAGTGTGTTTAATACGGAATCGTGCGTGCAAAAGGAAATATCTATTAATTCCTTGCAGTTAAAAGAATGGAAAGTTCCATTAAATGCCGATAGGGGCGTCCCAACTGTCAGACGACAGCTGTGTCTGGGATCAGTTGATGGCGTGGTAGAGTTGTGGATGTGACGGGGCGGATGCGGGAAATTTTTTTGATTAGTTTTTAGTTGCAGTATTTCTTTCTTAGTTTATACAGTCATTGTGCCTCTGTTACTACATATTTGTAAGTATATAACGTAGTGTTTATGGGTGTATTTTTCAACATCATTACCAGACAAATTCATTTCACATTACAGATTATCACTAATTTATAAGATAAACCCAATTATTTAAAACAAATTGTTCTGTGAATTCAGCTAACTTTAGAAATTATTTGTATGGTCCCCTAAATGATTTAATATTGGCTTTCATGTACCTTATCACAAAATAATTTATAAACAAATACTTCAGTTATGATTGCATATAATTTTATTACTAACTTACTATTGCTTGATAAAATAAAGTGATTAGTCGAAAATTTGGATCATTTGAAAAATTAAGTAATTTCTTAATTGTGATTTTAATAATTCATTAATGGGATGGTTAACAACAGAATACTGTTTGTGAATTTGTTACAAAATTGTTGAATGGTTAAGAGTTGTTATTTTATACAAAAAGGTGAATATTTGTCTTAATTAAGAGGCTTGATAGATAAAGATCTAGGTTAAAGGAAATTCATTATTTGTTTGTATAACTATACTTATTTGATATAACATATCACTGATGTTTGATGAGAATGTTTTAAGTCGTATTTTTTAAGGAATAAAAGTTTTTATGTATTCTTTAGCACAAAAATATCTTCTTTTTATTGGTAAAATAGGTTTAACTTAGGTCGTAGAGAAATCTGTAGTTAATATCAGGAATTTATGCTGTTGTACAAATGAAAAAAAAAAAAAATTGTTTTCCAATAAAATTACCGTTTTTTATTTTCATAGAAATAATGAATAAAGTAAGTTTGATCGAACACCAGTGATAAATGAGAAAAACTCATTGAAAGTTTTTTGTTTATAAAAAAAATTTAATTTAGTTTGATTATATGTATAATTTACATTTAATTTTTAATATTTAATACCTCACTGCCAGCTCCAATATTTATTGTTGCTACTCCACACAGAAGCCTGGAAAGTCTTTCTTTGAGTTTAGTTGCATCAAGGTCATTATCTGCTTGTTTTATCAATCCTTTAATTGTCCCAGCTCGGCTTTGAATGTCTTCCTTTTTACCATTGCACTGGAATAATCATTTCATTATTTGTAATAACTTTATGAGAAATAATAAACAGTAAAAACTTATTGTTCTAAGTGTTTTGAGTTTTATGTTATACAACCTTTTTTTATTCTTTAATTAGTCTGGAAAATTATGATTATTTATTAATAAATTCAATATCTAATATCACCACAATAAAAATGAAGGTACTTCTCTTAAACAGATATTTAAAACTTTAAAAATAAAAATTGCTAATTGAAGTTGCTAATATTTTTTTTAATCGGAAATTTAATTTAATAAAATATATAAATAGGTATATGAAAAATACATATTATATAGATTATAACATTTTGTTGATGTTATATATAAATATAAAATATGTTATATTAAATATAAAAAATATTTTGTACTTTTGTATTATCGATATGTTTTATAAATGCTATAGACATGATCTTCGAAATTTATTAGTTAGTCATATGTGCCAAAAATTACCACAGTGTCTAGTTCTTTTTTTCTTAGTAATGATGAAACCAGAGGTTAAAACATTTTTAAAAAGCTATATTTTAACAGTTTCGTTGAAACATTTTTTAATTAAAATTTCCATCAAACCTTTCATTGCAGGTTCTAGATTCCAGTCATATCAAAAAGTGTTTAAAAATTAAAGTTACCTTTTTTTCAAGTCTTGGCTGAAACCTGGGATTTTTTTTTTTTTTTTGTCTTTGCCAAAATTCAATTTATGTGCATGAAGTAATTATTGATGAAATGCAGAAGAAGCTAGATACAATTTTGTGTTTTTTAATATTTTTATGGTGCAAATAATCAATCAATCATATACAGTATAAAGAAACCGTAACTGATACGTTAATCAAACATGTGATAAAATATTTTTTTTTACATCCTAATTACAATTTATAATTTCTTTGGGGAGATGTTGACATAATTCAAAATATGTCTGTAAACACTTAATATGTAGTTTCAAATATTTGCAAAATTGTATTGAGCAGAAGGTAGTTGCTAACTTTTGCACAATTAATTGTGATAAAAGAGTTTATTATTATTTTAAAACTATTTATTATTCCTTTATGCCCTTGAAAAATTATGACTCGTTGCAACTCTTGTTTACAAGTTTGATATGAATTTACATTTGATGTGGTGTCTCACTATAATTTGCATAGAACATTCTTCATTATTGATCTTAATGTTAAAAAAAATTCGATAGTTTTAAATTATAATATTTTTTAAAAATTAAATCATTCAATTTTGTAAATTTAGTTTTGTTTGGTGTAAATTTGACTCGGAAGAAAATAGATGGCATCTTTCCAATGCTAAAATAATATATGCAGTTCACTTGGAGGCCAAATGCTAAAAGCCTGGAGAAGGCTGAGCCTTGTTTAGCTATCTAACATAATAATGATAAAACAATCCTTGCATATCTAATAAGATTGTAATATTTCACTTTTAAGAATTTCAAAAGAGGTTTAATCTATTTTAGTAATACAATATTATTTGATATTACATATTTTATTTAGTTTAGTCATTGTATCTCAATATTTTTCGCTGGTTCCTATGAAAATTATTTATATAGAAAAGTAGGTAGATAAGTGTGCAATATAACCTTGTCTAACTATAAAAAATAAATGAATTTCCTTTAATTTAAACTTTGTCACATTAGTTATTTCCCAACAGATCGCAGAAACAGTTAGTTTCTTGAATATACTATACAAAGGAAAAGCAAGAGACACCAATAATCTCATTTTAGCCAAAAATGTCCGTTACAACCTTGTCAAACCAAAATAGGGTAATGAATTGCCATTGTATCAGAACCTACCATAGCTATAGATATTCAAATCAAAAAATTTTTACAATAGGTATATTTAATGAAAATTTGAAATGCTGATGTTTGAACTTCAGTATACTGTATCGTAGAAAATATGATAAAGTTATTAATATTTTAATTCCCAATTAGAATCGTTATGAATTTTAAATTGAAGGCTCTCTTCCCAAGAAGTGGAACTAATTTACACCAAAAGCTGGCCACTTATGAGGAATTCTGACATTTAAAGACCTAATCTTTTCAAATGGTTTCTCAGTGTCCAATTGGTGTTTGTTTGTATCCCACTCATACAATACAAGTTATAGATTTAAAAAAAAATACAAATCATATCTGTAAAACATTTATTTACCATGGTTAGTCAGATATTTTTAAGAGGAAAAAAAAATTCTTAAATATGTATGATTAACTGTGATAAATAAATGGATTAAAAATAATAATGATTGTATAGGTTACATTACATTTTCTAGTGGTCTGAATTTCACTTGGCATTGTACAATCTTAAAAAAATAGTAGAGGAATCTTCAACAAAGTTTTCATCTCTCTACTAAACATTGCTTGAAAATAGCCTAGGATTTTCTTTGGTTTCTGTAAATAGAAGGTTCTCATGGTATTTGGGTTTAAGCAACCTCTTGCCTCTCCATACCTATCTTGCTCTTAGAAGTCACCACAACTTTTTTCATTTGTTAGTAAAATCATCACTTCATCAGGACATATTTTCTATCCAAGAAATATCTAATTTAATTCCAAGAACACACTTGGAATGATTTTTTTTTATTTACTAATTCTACCCATTACTTTGACCTTAAATATTATTTTAATAATTTCTTCATATATTATTTGATATTTCAATTTTTCAAAGGATGAATTATAATAGCTTTAGGTATATAAAATATAAATTTTCACTTTCATTTTAATCTTTATTATATTCTTTTGTCTAACGTTTCGGATTACTCACCCATCATCAAAAACAATTTAAAACTGTTGGTAGGTCATTCGTCCATCTTATTGTTTTACAATGCATGTTAAAAACATTTCTCCTTAATAACCGCTTAAGTTTAAAATAAAATATATTAATAAACAACTTAAGTAGTAAATTAAGACAAATGTTTTTAACACGCATTATAAAACAATAATATGGATGAAAGGCCTACTATCAGTTTTAAATTGTCATTGATGATGGATGAGTAATCCGAAACGTTAGACAAAAGAATATAATAAAGATTAAAATGAAAGTGAAAATTTATATTTTATATACCTAAAGCTATTATAATTCATCCTTTGAAAAATTGAAATATCAAATAATATATGAAGAAATTATTAAAATAATATTTAAGGTCAAAGTAATGGGTAGAATTAGTAAATAAAAAAAAATCATTCCAAGTGTGTTCTTGGAATTAAATTAGATATTTCTTGGATAGAAAATATGTCCTGATGAAGTGATGATTTTACTAACAAATGAAAAAAGTTGTGGTGACTTCTAAGAGCAAGATAGGTATGGAGAGGCAAGAGGTTGCTTAAACCCAAATACCATGAGAACCTTCTATTTACAGAAACCAAAGAAAATCCTAGGCTATTTTCAAGCAATGTTTAGTAGAGAGATGAAAACTTTGTTGAAGATTCCTCTACTATTTTTTTAAGATTGTACAATGCCAAGTGAAATTCAGACCACTAGAAAATGTAATGTAACCTATACAATCATTATTATTTTTAATCCATTTATTTATCACAGTTAATCATACATATTTAAGAATTTTTTTTTCCTCTTAAAAATATCTGACTAACCATGGTAAATAAATGTTTTACAGATATGATTTGTATTTTTTTTTAAATCTATAACTTGTATTGTATGAGTGGGATACAAACAAACACCAATTGGACACTGAGAAACCATTTGAAAAGATTAGGTCTTTAAATGTCAGAATTCCTCATAAGTGGCCAGCTTTTGGTGTAAATTAGTTCCACTTCTTGGGAAGAGAGCCTTCAATTTAAAATTCATAACGATTCTAATTGGGAATTAAAATATTAATAACTTTATCATATTTTCTACGATACAGTATACTGAAGTTCAAACATCAGCATTTCAAATTTTATTAATTGCTGGGGTTTTTTATCCTATAGTGCATAGTTCTAAATATCACTGTTTCAATTTTTTTATTTTTTGTTTAAGAAACATTTAGTTGTATAAATACAGTTTACGGTTAATTGTTATAAATTAATTTATTCATAACAATGAGAGGATCTTCAGTTCTACATGTTATTCTTTGTTGAAACATTATTAGAAATAACAGCATTAACATATTGATTATATTTTAAATAAAGCTGTGATTAAAGAAATAACTTAAGCACAGAATCGGTTTTGTTGAATCCAGAAACAGAATGTTAATTAAAAAATAATTGAATATTAATATAAACATGTATAATTTATGTCTATTATTAGGCAATGATAGGCATCTGAGGGTAGATTTGGATAAAAATAGAACTACAAAGTAAATTATGTCATTCACCTTCAAAAGTAACGTTTCTTCGTTATTGATAATTACTTCGCCAGCTGAACCAAAATATTTTAAGAAATTTAATTCTTTTTTCTCATCTGTTGCTTCATCTCCATATACTTTTCCTCCTAGAAATTTATTAATTATGATTTAAATATTGGCGTATGTTTGATGTTCTAAGTTATATTTATTCTTACCTATTCTATTTTTTTTTTTTTTTCATATCTGGCTCTAAATAAATTTACTTTCTTTAAATTTATATTTTTATGTAATTTTTCAATTCAACTAATGGAATGGACAGTTCTTATTTCTCGCCTAAGGCAGGTTTTGTTCCAGTGTTGTTTACATCTCTTTAAAAATTTATTTTTAGAATCAATTAACTTAGTACCTTGACCACCATTTATAAGAATTATTTGATATATTACTCTACTTCTTTACTTTAACGAAAAGTTATAAATCTTGGCTATTTGAGTCTTCCAAATATAGAAATGTTTCTACACCTTGCTAAGTTCACTTTTTTTTTTAATACAACAGAATTTAAATATACAACAACTGAGGTCAAAAATTTGTGTTTGCATTTCAATCACATCACACAAGAAGAAAAAAGAAGACTACCATAATCCAATGCAACTTGACCCTCCTTTTCATGACAAGGTTACTAGACTATAAAAAAATGACAGATTTAAGAGAAGTATTGAAAGGCATTGTGAGGCCTTAGAGAATTAGAGAAAATGGTGCATACTGCTTAAGAAGGAACAAAGATATCAACAATCTATAAAATCCAAAGTTTCTAGTAATTACTAATTCCGTGCTACAAATGGCCGAGACATATAATCAGAAGGGATTATTGTAGAGCCTGGCAATTATACTATGGAAACCCACGTGGAATCAGACCATGTATAAGACCGAAGGGAATGTGGAAGGAATCAGTGGCTGAGTACTTGAGGATAGTCTGATTGTCCAGCAGACTTGCTGGATAGCTTCTGAATGTAATGTTTGGTAAAAACCAGTTGAGCAGGGCAGGTTGTCAAGTCCCTTATCAAGTTGTTAATTAATTAACATTAATCAACTATTAAAATTAAATTTTTTTTTTTTTTTATTTCTTATGACATTTACAACTGTATTACATAAATACATCTAGTAAATTTGGACATAATAGATATAATGACATGAATACACTAGCTGAGTAACCACCCAATGGTAGTACTCTAATGATATGACTACATTAGGAGATCACGGGGCCATCTTCTTTTCAGACGCCTCGAGGGTTATCAGGAATTGAAGAGGAAGCAAGGTTAGAAACGAGGGGGTTGGGATGATTCTGAAGTTTATTATAGAAGGATAGGTATCTGGATTGGGCCAGATCTGAAACATAAGGAACATTAAGATCTTTATGGATAATTTTATTAGTGACTAAGTAAGGAGCATTGAGGATTTTACGAAAGATTTTGGATTGTAAGGATTGGATGCGAGAGGAATTCGATGGTTTAGTGGAGCCTCATAGCTCAACTCCGTAAGTCCAAATAGGTCTTATTATAGTCAAGTATATGAGTCTTTTGTAATTAATAGGAAGTTTAGAGCGTTTGTCTAGTAAGTGCTGAAGTAATCGGAAACGTCGAGCGGTTTCTTGTCGTTTCAGTCTAGTATGAGGATTCCAAGTTAGTCGTTTGTCTAGGTGGAGTCCTAGGTATCGGATTTGCTCAACAGGGATAAGTGGAGTATTGTTAAAGGAAACTGTAGGACAGGAAGTCGTTGGTTTACGACGAAGGTTAAAGGTAATTTGGTAGGATTTATTGGAGTTTATTTTAATTCTCCAGTTTTGACACCATTCTTCTAGATTTATGATTTGTGATTGAAGCATTTGGGATGCAATTGCTGGGTCATTGTTTACTGATAGGATACATGTGTCATCAGCATATGTGGTGATGACAGTGTTGGGACTGGTAGGGATGTCAGCTGTATAAACTGTATAGAGGATAGGACCTAGGATACTACCTTGAGGAACACCAGCGGACTGGGAAAAAAGGGATAAATAGGCGTTATTGTGATTTACTTTAAAGTACCTATCAGTAAGGTAGGAACGGATAATGAGGAAGTATGTAGGTGGTAGGAATTTTCGGAGTTTGTACAGCATTCCCAGGTGCCAAACTCTATCAAACGCCTGTTCAACGTCGAGAAAGACTCCCGTACAGTACATTCCGATCTCCAATGCAGAGGAGACTACGTCTACCACACGATGACATTGCTGTATAGTGGAATGGGAAGTTCGGAAACCAAATTGGTGATCTGGGATTATGTGTTTAGAATTTAGGATAGGGTACAGGCGTTTTAAGATGAGTTTTTCTAGGATTTTGCCCATGATGGGTAAAAGAAAGATAGGACGGTAAAAATTAAATATAATTTATTTATTGGCTTTATTATAACTCAAGATAAGTATTTTTTATCCCTCAAAAACATTCACTATTTATTCTTAAAATCTAAAAATTTTATATCCTAACTAAAACAAAAAACTAATGAAGTTAATTAGAACTTTGAAATGATAATTTTTAAATAGTTTTAATGCATGGTGTTTTTCTGTAAATCATTTTTTTTAATTATTTCATATCCTCTAAAAAAATTGAAAAAATTATCAATCAACCCATTTCTACCTGTAGTAGCTGCAATATCATAGAGAGTTTCTTTTCTGAAATCCCCAATTCCCGGTGATTTCACTGCAGCTACTTGACAATTGCCTTTCATACTTTGGAACAGAAAAAGTATAATATTTTCAAAACTAAGTTATGCAAAATATTAAATTTTCTATAATCTATCTTAAGCTGAAACATTTATTTAATACACAGAATGTTTGCTGTAAAAATTACTCTTGTTCAAAGAACAATTCAGTAAATCTAGAAATTCGTCTTATTTAAACTAAATTGAGTTTTCAACTTAAGTATATTACTAAAGCAGATACTTTAGACAACATAGATAGTATAAAAAGTTAATGAAAATTATGGGTGTCTTTTCATTATTAAAAATTAAACATAAACATTAAAATAAAATTAAAGCATTGAATGTGACAACCAGTCAAGTACAAAACTGTTATTTAACATTAAGCAAAACATTTACTACATAATGGCCAAGCTTTTCTCCTGCTAAATGAGACATGTAAAATTTCTTAATTTTGAAACATGTATCACAAAACAGGGGTGCCATCACAATTTTTGAGAGGAGCACATTTTGACGGGATTTTGAATTTTTGAGGGGTGCACATTTCGACGGGATTCGAATTTTTGGATTGAAAAGTTTCAAACAAGGAGACAAAGGGAATACATACAACGAACCTCGACAATTACAATCTTTTGAATAGATAATTATGATCTTTTGCAAGCTATACAACTTTTTTCTAATTTGACTGGACTAGAGTTGTTAAATATTTTCCCTTCAATTAAAAATAATTTTAGTTGTTGCTAAAATAAAAAAATCCTCGCCCACCCCATTACTGTCTTCTATTCTATAATTCTGAAATGTTCAATCTCAAAAGTATCAAAATTGGTAGCTTTTAGTTCAGTACTTCAACAACTATTTCAGGTTGACACATTTGTGCTTTAACAACAACATTGCAAGTGCGTGTTTTACCATAACATGAAATGCATTTGTCCATACAAGCCGAATAACATTCGTGTTATGTACCGAGTACTTTGGGATTCTGACCCCAAAGTGTTCGGTCATCACGTCCTTTGCATAACATGACAAATGAAAATACAAATGTAAGAACAAAATAAAAAGTGAATTTCAATGATACTGTAGTCACATTTCTAGATTTTTTAACTAAAGTGTTTCCCTACAACAGCTCATCACTTGGCAGACAAATCTATTTCTTATCATTATTGTGATTTCACTGCATTAGAATAAGAATCCAATTGGTCTTAGATTTACTATGACCCATCTTGACAGTGATTATTATTTTTTCATTATTGGCTGTTATATCATATTTTATTATTTCTAGATATGATATTGTTTTCTTCTTTTTTTGCTGTGAAGCTGTTTAATATTCTTTATTTTTGGCAATGAAAACTTCCAGGTATACAAGCAATTAGTTTATTTGTTGAATTACATGTCAAGTTGACATTTCGGGAAAATGATATCCATCGTCAAAACTTTCATAGTGATTTTTGGCTAGAAAAGAGTTAATTAAAATAGAATGAATGTTACAATACATGTTAATGTTGTGTTTTACATAAAATGTTATAATTACCTAAAGCCTGGTGTGCTCCTTTGTCATTATTTGAAATTTATGTGTTATAAATATAATAAAAGTGTACCTTGATCATCAACATTCTTAGGACTAATAATTGGGTGTCTGCTATGGGAGATATTATTAACCTTTGGATCTAATTATTTACTCTTTTACTATTGTTATTCAATGGCTGTTTGTTACATAGCTACATTCCGGTTTTACTATATTTTAATTTTATTTAAAATATCTGTTTGTGTTCCTAAATGTTTAGTGTCTGTTTTATGATTTACTGTTGTTCTATTGTTTTCTGTGATGTGGATGGCTTTGAGTAATTTTCTATTGTTGTTTTTTGGTTTTGTGCCTTATATCTGTGGTTTATTGAAATTCAATTTTTGTGGTTTAATTTTATGCTATGGTATGCTAAAGCTGTGGAGTTTATTTCATTTTTTATTTTTGCAGTTGGAAATGTGCTCTGAAATTCTGGTTTTTAGGTGTTTGGATGTTTCACCAATGTAAATTTTAGGTCAATTTTGATAGTTCAATTTGTAAATTGCATTTTTCTTATCTAATACATCTATTCTGTCTTTTTTATTGGTAATAATTTTTGTATTGTCCAAGTTTGATTTCTGGTAAAAGTTAATTGCAAGTACTAAACAAAATGTAAATTTCAATGATACTGTAGTCACATGTCTAGATTTTTTAACTGAAGTGTTTCCCTACAATAGCTCATCACTTGTGAGACAAATCTATTTCTTATCATTATTGTGATTTTACTGCATTAGAATAAGAATCCAGTTGGTCTTAGATTTAATATAACCCATCTTAACAGTGATTATAATTTTTTTATTACTGACTGCTATATCATGTTTTATCACTTCTAGATATGATATCGTTTTATTAGAAAATAATTTTAATATAAACTATTCCTCTCGCCATTGATAATACTCTACTCAACGAGGTCATTAATAGCAAATAGATTAACTTTATAACAAAAAAAGTGAACTTTATCCGCTTAGTCATTAACCCTAATCATTAATTATCTTTCATATAATAACATGATTATTCTACTCCTCTTGGAACTATCAAGACTCACTCTTATCACTGTAGGAAAGAATAATGATTTTATTCATATGTCTTATTGCTATCTAGTTATTATTTTACATACATTTTCTCCAATTACATATTGCACTAGATTTAGTCAGTTTTTATAATTTATATAATTTTGGGGTTACTGCTTATGATGTATTGAATACAAAACAAAAAAAAAATCTGCTGCGCGCAGTACACAACTTTCACTTATCTCTCTACTTTGAATAGAATTTATTTTCTGGCAGTGTTGAGCCATTATAAAATTTTTTAAGTGTACTTTTAACAGAGCTATAGCTTAAAACTTATAACTAATAAATCATTAATACCACTAAAATAACAAAAACCCTGTTAATTATATCAACGGTAGAGAATGAAAACCTCGGTAATTGTTATTTTCCATTGTAAAGTTTACTAAAATAAAATATAGAGATTTTCATTGCCTGCCATAGATAGGTCAAAAGTTGTCACACTAATTTTAAGTGGATAATGTTTGAATTTCACAAAGGAAAAATTCATCAAATTATTCTCTAATATAATTTTCTAAAAGGTTATATGACAATTTTTCAGAACAAACGGACGTTGATATCTAATTATTAAAATATATCAGTTCTACAATTATTAAACTACAGTAAATGTATTTAAGGTTACAAACATATGCTTTATACATCCATGAAATATTTGTATATTTCACTTCTTCATTCACATAAGTACTATGAAATAGTGTTTTTAGCAATGACATTGCCTTGATTAGGTGGATTTTAAATACTTTTTTTTCACACTTAAAAGAAGTTTACATTTAGTTAGTAAATTTCATTTAATTTCCTGAAAACATGTGATCTCCGTTAAATAATATTAGTTTTCACAATTTATTATTTATAATTTTGCATCACTATCCATCACTCAACGACTTTCTATATTAGCTGTTATTTTTTCTAAAATTTTACCCTTTCCAACGATATATTATACGTATACCTTCGGACCAGTATATCCGAAAATTCATTTTCAACCTAAATAAACATTTTCCGTTTTGTCTCCATTTTTCAATTATCAAATTCTTTCAAAAGTTATATTTAGCATTTTTTCGTAATTCTTAATGATAAGAGATAGTTAATTATTTAAACTAAATCAAATTAAAGGTATTTTAGAGGAAGACATGTTGAACATTTAAGCCCTGTAAAGTGACATCAATGGGTATAAGACCCTAAATGACATTAAAGACCACTTAATTAAACAATGATATACCGAGTAATACAAAATCGTTAAAGCCGTTTTTGAGAAAGTTGTAAAAATGTGTACCACTGTTGATATAAAGTGGTACTTCCGGTTAGCCAATTTTAAGGAAAAAGTTGCTGTCACATCTGAGCCATATACTTAATTATGTAATATCAGTTTCTTGCGACATTTCTTTTTTGAGATAGACTGTTCACATACAGACATGCAGACCATTTTGCGAAACTTAGTTATTTGGAGTCAGGGGACCTCAAAACTTGTATTTCCTTTGAAAACTCAGATTTGAAAATTTTTACGATCGCAATATTTTCTCTTACCATACATTACATATACAGGTAATTGAAAGTAATAAGTAACACACTTATTTATCACCATGGCTAGGATTGGTTCTTGTTCAAAGTCTTCTGCTATTATAAGTAGAGGTTTTTTCTTTAATGCTGCTGATTCCAGTGCATGTATAATCGAACGAACACTTATTATTTTCATGTCACAAAGTAGCACAAAACATTTTTCAAAAATAACCTTGTTGCCTTGAAAAATAAAATAAAATAGTACAGTTTTAGTTGATTATTGTTTGTAAAAATTTAGGTAATTTAAAAAAAAAAATATCCTGACCTCGACTATTTGTAAATGAAGGTGAAAAATAACCATTTTCAATTTTAATACCATCAATGAGTTCAAAACTATCAGTAATTGCTTTTCCTTCTTTAACCGTTACTATACCTTCCTTACCAACCTAAAACAATTTCCTTGATTCACATATTAATTCAAATTTTATTATACTTCTCTCTTCTTCTTTTTTTAATACTTTATTTAAAGCCTGAGTAATTAACCCTCCAATATGACGATCGCCATTGGCTGAAATTGTCGCAACATTCATTATTTCTTCTTCAGAAATTACAGGTTTTGTAATTTTGTCTAGCCTATGAATAGCTGAATCGACACCCATCATGAGACCTGAAATTTGAAAATAGTATATTAAACAAATGATGTTTCCATCTTCTATTAGCATTCTAATAAATATTAGGTTTAAAGAAGTTTTGGTTATTTAATTGTCAGATGTGTTGTGCATCATTAAATCTTTATGTTTTGAACTACTTTCAATCCGACGATGGAGCCAACCTCAATAAACTAAAGCATTAAATTATTTCAGGTTATCTAACGAATACCTGCAGTAAAATTCTCAAAAATAAAATTTCGAATTGCTTGCTGGTATATTATCATGTATTCACCTTTTGAGTTGTACACCATCTGTAGCTAATAACTGGCGTGCGTAGGTGAACAGCTTTGTCTTTGCAATATCAACCAAAATTAAATCTTAACCTCTATTTCCTGTTATAAAATGGACACTATCAGAGAATTTGATTATGGTGTCATCAACTATAGAGGTGCAAATCTTTATAGCTATAATATGGAACTGAAAATTTGTTTTTCCTGTTGCTCCATTTGAGGTCTTACTTACCAAAAACATATAAATTTTTAATATAAGATTATATAAAGTAAATTATCCTGGCTCATCATTCTATCTATTAGTTCATGTTTAATTATACCATATAAGACTGTATCATACAGAGAAATTTGGTAACAGGACAAGTATGCAAGTGTTGATTTCAGTCTTAAATACATCAGTTTAGTGACAGTTATTTTGTAGCTAGAAATTTTGAAGTTAATATTTCTAAAACGTAGATCTTTAGTAAATTACATTTTTTTTTCCTACCCTTCCTCTTTTATCTTCATATTCTGGATTATGACCATGGTCAACTATTTTCTCTAATTTAATATTAAAGTATTATTATACTTAAATATCAAGCTCGAAGAAAAAATACTCAGCTTCATAAGAGTTATGATGCATCAAGATCATATTACTAAAAGTTAAAAATATTTAAAACTATGTACGATAATAAATCATCAATGTTTTGGAAAATATGATATTTGTAAAAAAAGTGAGTTGTTGGTGATGAAAATATTGTTACTAAAATAAATGTTGCTAATTATTTTTTAGTTAATTAATAATTTTTAATTAATTCTGTCATTTAGACAATATTGCAAATGTAAAATTATACAAAGTATGTAATAAAGGAATATTGATTTTTTCCTAATTAGAAATCAGCCAAACTCTCCTTACAAATATTTCATAGAATATCTGCTCTGCTAGAAGTTCTCAGAAAAATTAGTTTTGATTTAAGCTAAAGCTATTACATTTCTTAGAAATAACCATAATAGTAGACATAATACTTTTATAGGTTCTTCATATATTTTTTATTTAATGATATTTAAAAAAAACCTCCTGACCTCCAAAAAGAAACATCTATTCATTTTTCAACATTTTGGACAAGACCCTTCATTTAAAAAAAAATGCTCACTCAAATTTCTGTAATCTTGTCCAATTCCTTAATTAAAAAATTTCAAGGAGAAAGAAATATTTTTAGTGGAAATATTGACTACATTTTGACATATACTGTAAGCTTTTGTACAGAAGGAGCAAGGTAAATCTAAATATTTTTAGATGAACAAAATTAAAAGGACAATTTTGGTGGAAAAATTTAAAAATGAATATAGGTTTGTTTTTGTTTTTTCGGAAGTTGGTAGGTTTATTTAAATTCCTTTAAATCACTAAAAAAAAAAAATTTAGAAATAACATATTTTGGTTGTCTTATGTTATGTGAACTTAATTTTAAGTTTTAGGGTTATATTTACTGTTTTCTTTTATAACAATTAATCATATTATTCCTACATTAATAGAAATGCTTTGATTAATTCAGGAGAATTCCAACTTAAGTGTTGCTCCATTATTTGACTTGGCTGGCAAATTATTTCCATCAATTATTTAAAGCTTTATATAGATAAAATCCACAGAGCCTATCATGATAAATCATTTATTTTTCTCATGTTGGCATTACAGACCTTAGAGATTCATAACCAGCCTTCTTTATGCTGTCTATTTTGGTTTTTGCTATCCAGTTATCTGCATGCAGCTCTTTTATATCTTTGTTGATTCGATCGATCTATTTCTTTTTCGGCCTTCCACATAGTCTTTTGCCTCTTATTGAAGCATTCATTATTGTGTAGGTGTTTCCTCATGGAATTCTCCGAGCTATAGACCCTGTCCATCTTAACCTCTTTGCTTTCATTCAGATGGATGGGGCATGTAGCTTGGAGAATTCCATGAGGAACATTCCATTTCAGGAAGCCCCTACATTACAATGAATGCCTTAAATCATTAGGAAAAAATCCACTTGGATGGCTGAAATCCAGATGGGTAGATTGAATCAACATAGAGCTGCATGCAGATAACTGGAAAGCTATAACAGACTAAAATAGGCAGAGATAGAGGAGGCTGGTTAAGACAGAAAGAAAAAATAATGCATCTTAAACATATTTCTTATGTTTTTTATGAATAATATATTATCTCATTTACCTTTTCTTATTTCATTAGGGTTACCTCCATGGGTCAGTTTTTCAAATCCTTCTTTAGCTATTGCTCTAGCTAGTACCTTCAAAATATGAAATGTCTCATCATTATCATGATTTTTAATATTTGACACATTAAGTTATTCATTCATAAATAATATTATTCAATAATGAGTTATTGGGAATTCTTCATTTTAGACAATTTGTTTGCATTGTGTATACAAAGAGAGTATTATAATTTCCAATCTTAGAGTATTAAGTTTTCCAATCTTCTAGATTTTTTTTTAGTTTTTTTTTTTTTTTGCTCTAAGATTTTAAACAAAATCCTATTTCACCAGTTAGTTTTATTTAAATAAAAATTATATATATATATATATATATATATATATATATATATATATATATATATATAATGTATATTTATTAAGAGTACATGCCTGCAGCCCATCAACACAATGTGTTAGACTAATCAATTTCATTTAACGGGATTTTTATAAAAATAGTTTAATTAAGTTTTCTTTCTACAACTAATTTTATTTTTATCCTCAAGATACTATCATATCGCATCTTTCATGACATCCGGCTGTGTTTGAGGGCATGGCTAAATTATATACTAGGATTATTTAAAATTTTCATCTGCTTAGGTTTTATCACGGGCGGATCTACAGGGGGAGGAGGAGGGTTTTCGGGCTGAAGCCTCCCCAAAATGGAAAAATATAACCGTATTTTATGGGGAAAAAAATACCTCTTAAAGTATTTTTGTTCGTGTAATTACATTTAAAAGTACTTAAGGAATAACTTAAAACACCATTTCATATAGGTAGTTAGTTTCTTTCTGGTTTTACAAAGTAATTATCGTTATTTTTATGAAAAAAATGAAAAAAAAGGTTTCGGACTGAAGCCCCCCCAAAAAAAAAATTAAATCCTGGATCCGCTAGTGGTTTTTATGTATGTACTGTGATAAGTATTCTGTTTTGTTTTTTTATGGGTTACCTTCTGCAATTACTTTTCTGTATTATAATTTAGAAACTTACATTATTGATAAAAAATTAAAAACAACATATATTTTATAATAATCACTATGACTTCTACATTTCAAATTATTGCCAAATTATCGCTCGAAAGTTGCCGTCCCCGACATTCTGCCAGCTTGCCCTCCATCTCCTCTAGTTCCGGCCCTTGCAGTCTGTAACCCCTTAAAATATTGTTTGATCGAGAAGAATTATATTAATTTTATTTTAGGTGTTTTCGTGAACTAATTTCTTCTGTTTTTCATATTCTTTTATTTGAAATTCGTTAGCATTATTTTTGTCAAAATTTCTAGTTCCTTATGCATCCCCAGGATAAAACTTTTCATGTTCATTTCTTCTATTATGTTCCTATAGTGATTTTCCGCTCTTTTTTAATCTTTTTACCACTCATAAATTATATTTATATCGTCTTATTATTTGTATCAATTTAAAAAAATACTATTTGTTTCATGAAATCTTACATTGAAAGTTCCACATACCTAATTTCATTATACCAATGAATTAGTAAACAGAAGAATTTTTTTCACGAAAGTATTAAAAATAAAGGCATGATTTCAGTTTTGTGTAAAAAACGCGAAATCATCAAAAAAAATTTTCCGTCTTTTTGATTCAAGATAACAAAAGCTACCATTGTTTTAAAAGGGTGAATCTACAGCGTGTTTATACACATATAGCGCAATTTGAGCCATAACAATTTTAGGGGAGGGGGGGGCATATTTTGGCGGGTTTTTGAATTTTTGAGTGGGGTACGCACATTTCTGAGGGATTAAAATTTTGGGAATGAAAAGTTTCATGCTAATGAAAAAGGGAAAAACATGGAACAAACCGCGGCAAGTGCATTTGTATATGATCTGCGATTTTTCTAATTCTACCTCCACTTGCTCTGTTTTTAAGAAAAGGTGAGGAATAAAATATCTTGAGAGAGAGGAAAGGTTCTTGCGCCATCGACCATGCGGGGATGAGCACCTCCTGCATCCATGATATGTAGATGATTTAAGGCTCATGCACACAGAACGCGATAGGTCTCGCCGATCTGCGATCCCTTGGTCTGTATCCCTACGGATCATCGCAATCCGTGTTACTATGCTAGTGGAAAAGAAGGTATGTAACTATATCGCCCAGACGTTATATGTACAGGAGCCTTTAGTGTTGCAAATCAGGAATCGTTATTCTATAGAATTACTTATCTATCTAATATCTAAATGGCAAGTCATGGAATATATTGGAACATAAATTGTTATTAAATACCGTTGCTGTAGTAGTCCCATCGCCTGCTCTTTTGTTTGTATTCTGTGCTACTCCTTGAATTATCTTAACTCCAATATTTTCATAACGATCTGGCAAATCAATCGTCTTAGCAACTGTTACCCCATCTTTCGTTACTATTGGTTTGTATGGGTTTTCAAGAATCACGTTGCGGCCCTATTTTAAATCATAAACTAGATCAACGTTGAGTTTTTTTCTTTCCATTAATAATTACGTCAGTATATTTAATTTTACCTTAGGACCGAGAGTAACTGAAACGGTATTTGTTATTTTATCAACTCCTTGGAGGAGAAGTTTTTTCACCTCATGTCCAAATTTCACATCTTTTGCATAATTTTTGCTTATTGATTGAATCACAGCACTCTTCCAGACATAAGCAACAAATAAAAAATATTATTAAATTCATACTATATACTGTTAATGACGTTTTCCTATACTTACATTAGGAATTAAACTTTTACTTAGAGAGGTAAACATTAATTCGATTGTAACCTACTTTTTTAAATACGCGAAATTAAATACTTATACAATGTGTCTTTTGTTTTTATTTATTGTATTAGGTAAAACACATGTTGGGCGAATAGGAAAAATTTATGGAAATTAAGTTTATCTATTAGACCTTACCTCATTGAAAAAGTTTCAATTACAATTTGTAAATTTTTATCAATAAGGTGACGGTCCGGAGCTCAGTCTGAAAATTAACGTCAAATTTTAAATAGTGGTAAATATTTATTACCATAAATAAATTTGATATTATTTGGATTGACCCTCAGAACATCTTGTTTGCTTTACATCAACCATCAAATAAACATAACTTTGGAGGGTCATAGAGTTACGGCTCAAATAGATATAGATATTCATATTCTATTAATCGTGATTTTTTTCTTAAATTTAAGAATCTTAATATTTATGAAATGCGAATGTAAATATCCCACAAAAATTATCAAATTTTGCTATTGGATTTCTGTTTGCATTTTTTAAAATGAAAATACATAACTTTTGATACGCCTACTTTTGAAAAATATATAAGAAGAGAATGGTTATTAGTCCGTGGTACAAACCCCTTTTTACCGAATTATTTATATCCGTCTGAAATTTCGTAAATAGTTTCATCTCATCGTAGCTTACAACTATTTTTTTTACGAAAACTTTTGGAATTGGGGAGTTTTCAAACTGGAGGTGAGCAAACTTGTCTATTTAATCAGGTACTAAAATCTCGTAAAATCCCATTTGCTTTCTATTTTAATCGTAGGATATTAAGTTATTTTGAAAATTAGGGAGTGTAGGTCACGCCAAACGGCTCAATATTTTTTAAGGCCACCTTTTTTATCTCGATTTTGTGATCAAATTATCTTACGATCCAAGTAGGACAAAGTTTGCCTCCCTCCAGATTAAAAACACCCCAATTCCAAGAGTTTTCGTAAATATTTGTAGGTTAGGATGAGATGAAACTATTTACGAAGTTTCAGGCGGATGTTAATAATTCAATAAAAAGGGATCTGTACCGCGGAATATATCTTCATATAGTCTGAATCTTCAGTCAATATTTATTTGGTATAGTCGTTTTCAGATTTTTGAAAGAAACATGTTAAAATATACTTTGAAACATATTCTACTTTTACTAATTATTCGTTTGTAAATTTCCAGCTGAGTGTAACATAATATTATAAATATTGAATTTCAATATCTTTGTATTGATTTCATTAAAGCATCCAATAAATAACATTTACAAGATTATTGTCTACGATTTTTCCTTTCAACTTTAACGCCCATTATCTATTAAGATTGAAAATCGGCTCAACTTGGAATATGATATCTTGAATCCTATCCCTTTTTTAGTCAGATGGGAGTTTTTTTTATTATTATTATTTTATTTCAGTTATTTTTAAACTTGGATTATTTTCTAAAGAATCTATTAAATTAATTACTTTTGGTTGATTTACTAACTGCCTATCTTTAAGTTATGTACCATGTCAACTTATTCATACTTACTAGTACGTAATAGTATGGTGGTTGACTGTAGTGAATAATTGAAAAGAAATTGGTTGGGGTATTCAGTTAAAAATAAACAAATTAAAAATAAATGAATATTTATTTTTGTCTGTACAACCAACTTCTCTTCAATTATGCATACTTAAATACGGCAGGATTCCAATGCACAACCTTAGCATTGATCCATTAGAAGTTGGCACTTGGTTAATTATTTTGTTGATGAATAGTGAATAAATTATGGATTGCTAATCATTCACTATTAATAAAGAGTTAATCTCTCTGCCAACTTCCTTTGCGATATTGTATCGAAATCATGTACCTCTTCAATTATTCTTCAAAACTAAAATTTGAACTGAATTAGAAAAACCTCCCCACATTTCATGTAGCTGAAGTCAATGGTTTACCTATTCCATGCCTAGATCTGTCATTGAGTCAGTTCGGCTATTTATTTTTTCTAATGTTCATAACAATGATTGTTTTCTATGGCCTTGCTGCCCACCTCCTAAGTCCCTGCCTGAATTACCAGGCTTGTGATTGAGATCCTCCCTCACCCTCTTGATGCATTGTCTTCCTTCACTATGACTGCTGAGTAACACCCACCTTCCCAGTATGCCCCCCAGTTGTGGCTGTTTCAGATTTCCTTTAGTCAGTAATCCTTACTGATCCCAACCCGTATATATACCCTTATTATAACTGTGGTTATGGCATTGCTGCTACCCAATGCTGAAAAAGTTTGAATTTATGGTCCTATTCTTCTAAAGAGGATTCATTAGGATGTGCTACTCCTTAATCTTGACTTGAGATAAGTCGTACGATGAGGTACATAGCCACTAGCTCACGACCATGATTTACGTATAATTTTTAAAAAAACACCAGCTAGTAGTTTAAATCTGAGGTATCCAAATGTTTTGAATCATGAGGTTTCTCAGAGAAACAACTCATGCAATAAATGTCCTAGTAACCTTGTATTTGAATGATTTTCATATTTTTTAAATTTTTATCATGCAATTGAATAAACTTTCATTTCATGGGCCATAGTTTGGAAACCCTAGTTTAAATTACATATATAGTTTCTAAATTTGATTTATTTAGATGTAGGCTTGTTCCAAAATTCTGTGTAAGGGTATGAAAATTAATAAATTAAAATGTTATTTGAAATAAAGTCCATCTCTTAATGTGGCCGCTGAAATGTATCAGTAGAACAACAAAGTGTAAATGATTATGTACCTATTGGAGTGTAAATGATTATAATGGCCTCATTGGAGATAATAATAAGCCTCTTCATCATTTTATTTTTTCACCAAAAGGTAGTGATTCACTCTCCTAAAGTTCATTTTCAAGTTTCAGTTATGACTCTATCATTAGTGTTTAAGTGAGTTAACGTCCAATTCTGCAATAGTACTGTTAATATTTAATTTTGTTTTTTATGATGAATTATCTTTTAACTGCATATTTTTCTTTATTTAAGTTGAATTTTAGTTTATATTTTTTTTTTTCCTGAATGGATTATTTTTCTCTTCCCTCTTCCTGCCATAAATCCAGTATGGCATCTTTGAGATATATTGTTCTGTCCCTTGCTCTGTTAGAACTTGATCGACAGCTAAAGCAAATCTACACACATCATGTGGGTCAGTTAATTTGCATAGGTTAGGATCTGTAATGTGATATTAGAGTGGAGTTATCATCTTATACCAAGACCATCACATTTGCATGTTATGTAATAATAAATTTTGTCCTCTATACAGAACCTGCATTTTTTAATATCGTTTAAAAAATTAGTTGAAAATAGTGAGTAATCACATAACTTCATCATTATTCTAAATATTTATTTTGCCCATAATATTAAAAGATAATAGTGAAAAGGTAGTCATTTTATCAAAAATAAATAAGAGGTCTAATGATGAAAACATATTTAGCAAAACTGTTGTGCAACTAAACTATCATTAATGAATATTTCAGCTGATATTATTATTTTCATTTATTTACAGTGTGACCAGAAGAGACAATGGCTTTTAGAATAATTTCTTCTAGCCTGTTGAAAGCAACTTGCAACAACATTTGTTATAATCCAGAGGTATGTATGGAGTCATTTTGCTATTATTATCTATAATTATTTTAAATGAAATTCTAAAGCCTTACAGTATTATTATTTTAGAAATTCAGATGTTTTCAAATAAATCATGAATGAGCCTCATTCTTTTACACATAAATAGAATTATTTAAAATTTAAATTGGATGCTGTGTTGTTTGGTTTCGAAGTATACTTTTAAAATGATTAAGTTAACTTTTTCTATTTGCGTTAATTTGTCTATGACACGAGTAATGCCTTATTATTTTAGTCTTTTTTTCAAAACCTTTTTAAGATATATAAATGTGTCTATCCCAAGTCCATGTTACTACTCCTGTTCAACCACTCAATTCATGTTTATTACTCCTGAAGTTAAAGAGAGCTGTGTAATAAATATTACACTTATAATGTTTCACTGTCTTCCTTCTTTAAGTTTTCTCTTCATTTGCTGGTCTCTGCTTGTCATTTAGTTTTATTCTGATGCTTCATGCTATTGCAAGTTAGGTTATTTCGCTGATTTTTTTTAATCTGGATGTGGTAGGTTTTTATTTTAGATAATCTATCCACTATATGATGAAGAATAGCTAAACCATCTCATACTTTTCACATTTATAGCTTTTGATTTTGTCTTTCTGGGTTATTTTCTCTTGTTAGACCATATATTTGAATTTGAAATGATCTTCCATTCCAACTATTACAATCGGAGTGACTATATTTTTTGAGTCTTGATTCAAAAGAGATTATTAATATATAGGGGTTGGGTAAGATAAGTAAATTACAAGGCTAAGAAGGTACTTGAATTTTTTTTTTTAAATAAACGTACTTTTATATAATTAAGAATAAAATTTGTTCGATTTATTATGTCATGATGTATTTCAAAATAAAATTTATTAATGCCTAAAAATAAAGCAAAATTTTTATATAAACTTTTGAGAAATTCATGGGTCAAACATCCCTTTGAACCATATGCAATTATTGTTTTGTTTAGAAATATTGTTTAAAATTTTTCGTTATTTTATAGAATATTCTCTAAGGGCACAGTCTTATTTATAAGAGAAAACTAATGTTATTGTTAAACCACTTATTTATATTTTCATTTAATAATAAAATAAAAGCTGACGGGAATATTAATGCCAGGCAAAGCTAAATACATATTCACATAAAAATTAATGTTATATCTAACAAAACAATAATTTGACTCTTTTTTTGTAATTAATTGATTTTTGGAAAATTCGGGAACTGATATTTGATGCTTCTCAGAAGCTGTATCTCACTAATTTGTATCTCCATAGTTCACATGAATTCTGATGTCTTGAGATACCATGGGCATCAGTTGATTACAATTAATCTAAAACCTAGTTTTTATTACTTACAATAATCTTAATGCAATCAAAATTAAAAAGTATTTGGTTTATATTTTAATTCTTTTATATATAAACAATAAGGACACATGCTTTGGGAGTATACCAGTTAGAAGCTTTGGAAATATTTAGAGAATTTAGTATGGTATGAAAAAATTGAGATATATCCCAAAATTTACTTTTCTGAATTTCAGGAAAATTCTCGTGAGTGTTCAACTGTTATATGATCCTTTAATTTCAACTGTATCTTAGCTAATTTCAACAGTTAACGGAGTGAAAAAGACTTCTTGTTAGAAAGTTTAGTCAAACATAAACAGATATGTACACCTCAGACCGTCTTTATATATCAAGATATGTAGCATTCGAAATTCAAATAAAAAATATCTGTTAATAGTTTTTCTCTGAGAATGCTGAGTCAATTTTTTTAAGTTCATTTCTGT